TAGCCACACGATCTTTGGAGTTAAGAGAATAATTAAATGGATGAAATAGTTTCAAAATACTACACTAACCGAAGGTCAACAGTGGTGGACGTGGGAACAATCGATCTGTATGTTATGGTTCAGCCTTTCACACATGGCCATCCGTGTAATAAGCCCTTATTCACACTAAACATATTGTTTCATCCATAGTTCAAATGTTTTCTTCAGAAGTGCCAAACATCGTAATGTTGCATGTCAAGATATGACGGGACAGAGTAGACTATGGGGTGACTTCCACGAGAAATTCTATACATTGGGTTGTCATGTCACCGTAAATCTAAAAATTTTGGATTCCGTCTACTGTTATAGTAGCGGGTACCAATGTATTGATACCGAACTGGACCATAATTACACAATCCATATAGCCAGGGCTCAATATGTTCTACGGTCCTCATACCTATTCTTATCAAATTGGTGATAACAGCATTGAAAGTATTTGGAGCATTAAAACTTCCTTGGCTGTTTCCAGGTACTACTTTAGAATGGTGATTACCAATACTCTGTTGTATTACACCTCTAATTACTTCAGTGGAAATTTTCCTCTACTGTGTTTCTCAGTCATGTGTTTGGCTATTATCGTGTCAGGACGTACAGTATGGAGATACTTTTCAATATCAGCACTAATGTTACCATCTCAGTCGTAAGATTATGTTCTACTTCGTTATTAGTTTTGCTCTATTAATGAACCTAATCATAATATTTTAAACTTGTCATGATATTACTATCTAATCTATAAGATCTTACATGGAAGTCACATCCTTGTCTACACTTACTCGTCCTGTCGTGCTAATCGCTAATATGATGTTACCTACCTCCGGAGAACACATTTAGGCTGAAGATAGAGCAATATATTTCATATGAATAGGAGATAAGTTATACAAGAATGATCACACCTGCAAGGCTGAGCCATGATATCCGACTGAATCAAATTAATTCTCCCCACCTTCTCCATTGTTGCAAAAGTTCTTCGTTAAAACCAAATCCTAAAATATTTTACTCACTATATCAGTAATTGGCAAAGAAGAATTATTACAATGGCTGTTTTATGGAACACTTATCCTTAACCATTAATACGAATATCTACATACTGGTATTAGTCCTAACATTAGATAATTGGGAAAATAGATATTCGACACCTAATGCTAAGAGAAGACCAACAATCGAGAAGGCGGGGAAAATTAATTAGATTCAGTCGGATATCATGGCTCAGCCTTGCAGGTGTGATCATTCTTGTATAATTTATCTCTTATTCATATGAAATATATTCCTCTATCTTCAGCCTAAATGTGTTCTCCGGAGGTAGGTAACATCATATTAGCGATTAGTACGACAGGACGAGTAAGCGTAGACAAGGATGTGACTTCCATGTAAGATCTTATAGATTAGATAGTAATATCATGACAAGCTTACAATTTCAGGGTCAGGTCAATTAATTTAGCATCAACGATAACGAGCTAGGCCATAATTTCACAAATTAAGCAGATAATATTAGGCTAGATGTTTGTGAAATCTCACCATTACCACATCTAGTTTTCATTTTCACTCCGAGATTTCTTCGGATAGTCTGAGTCTTAGATTTTTCCACTGAACAAGGCAATATGTCAAAGAAAAGTTTATTATATTCATCCTCACAGTGGTTGTATTTGTTGTCGACTCGAACTTGCTTTCGGACTTTCACTGACCCTTGCAACATTTGTTCAGTTTAAAACATGCGACTATTTATACGATCAGGTTAAAACAAGTGACTACAGTAAAAGGCTGGATCAATACACAACGGCGTTTATACTCCTAAATGTTTGGCAAGAAACCAATTTCCCCAATCGTTCGATCTTCGGGTTTGTTGTTCCTTGGAATAGAAAGTCTGAAAAGTCACAGAATAGGATTATGTGACTTGAGACATATAATTTGATAAATTGATCCATGGAAGATGTGTTGTCACATAATATGGAACTCTTAGCTGTTATAAGGCTCATATTACATAGATTAGAGTCGTGCCACATGACAAGATTTTCTTGGCTATAAAAACACGAACTAAGAGTAGAGGATAAAACAACTGAAGTGGGTCTTTTTTACAATGAGTTAAATAAGCAACGGCCGTTATTAATTTCACTGGTGTCCAATGAGGAACAACTCAGGCTACTAAGAATAGCCATAATACCTGTTGACGATCCCCTTGAAATTACGTCCACAATGTTATTTTAAAATTCACTGCATCACATAAGACTACAGGTAATCCTTATAGTGGCGAATCTCAAGAATCCTAGGTCGATATTATCCTACTGAGATCCTCAAAATACACTGAAAAAGATTTCAAGCCACTCGTATTTGATGCCAGACTACAATATGACCACTAGTAAAAGACCAGACACACTTCTAGTTTTGATAAGTGTTCAAATAGTACATTGAAGCTGAGCTCAAACTGCTATTGGTAACAGTACAGAAAATGAAACTGACTGTCACAAGTTCGCATCAGTCAGGTAATGGCACTTACCTCAGATTAATAAGTTTGACTTTCTGATGAGTACGAAACAGCCTGAAATTGAATTTCAAGGTTTCATATCGATCACTCCCAAACGCGTAACACGACCGGTTTTTAAAACTTGCGTAACGTAACCTTGAATCACGTTGCGATCTACATTTTAAACTGTCGTTATTTGAAATGCCCAGATTAAGTGTTGTTAATTAAATTTTCCTCTGCCTTTCTTTCCTTCGACTTCGAATTTGTTTACAGACGTCGTCTAATGTCACATTTTGGGATTTCAAGGTCTTTGTCATTCAATCGTGTAAACTTTTAAAACGTTCAGTAGTAATTAAGTAATTGTTTGTTACTTACTTGCCAATTATGAAAGGGCAATAGTTTAGACTTATCGGTTAACGTTGTAAGGTTTTTCTCGTGCGATTTCGACTGTATTGCATTTACAAATAATCAATTTCTTAACCTGATTTTCAGCTTGGTTCAGCCAAAAGTTTGTAAACGGAAGTCGTCAAATTTCTTCACCCGACAGTTTCGTGGCAGTAAAATAGAGTCAAAGTAGCTGTTTGAGGATTTATTGTTTTTAAACAGATCGTCGTATGGTGTCATGAGTTATAATGTATCCCTAGGCCCTTTATAATACTCAAGTCAACTGGCGTCTACATATGTTAGTCGTGCCCAAATTGTTTACCTTATTTGAACAACACTTGAAATCTACAATTCTAGATTATTTCGAGTTTATTTACCTTTGTTCTCGTAATTAACAGTCGGTTTGTCTCTATTATCCATTCAGTTTTGACTTAAATTTTGGTACATTTACACATCGGTTTAAGTTGTCTATTCTTGTTTTCATGGGAAATTAAAAGAACATGAGCCTTTTGTTTATATTATTTTAAACAGGTTATAAAGTGTTTAGTGAGCTAACGTTTCCAGCACCAATAGTTCGCTAATGCTTTCAAATGACCTATTGTGCCAAGCCAAATAATGTTTAAAGTAGTGTGCTATATCATAATGAGATTCTATAATAAGTTTAGGGGGAAGTATCGGTGAGATTATAATTTATGGACGATTTTTGAGTAACATAAACTTAGTAATGTCCACCTACTTACTAGAGTTAAATACGGTTTATAAATTGATGTAAAGATATAGGATTAGTATTTACAGTTGAACATTAGGGTTGGAAATTGGATTTAGGGTTTTCATCATGAATTGACGTCATAATGCTTTTTAGCCAAGCAGATCAGTGAATTCCTCGGCGAGACTCTAATTTATGGATGAGACAACCAGAGGCGTTCTAGAGATTTCAAGGTTACAGCGCCAACTTCAGTGCTTAATGCCAACGTACGATCGGTTCACAGGGAATTATGTACAAAACGTGATAATTGAGCGGCTACAATAAATAAAACGGCGGGACTATAATTTGTGGACGAACCAATCAGGTATAAGATAATAGATCTCGGATTTTAACGCGGAAGCCTTTCATCCAATTGGCTAAATAAGTTTCTGGCATCATAGCTGATGTCAGCTCGTGATGGAAACCCCATATATAATTCCTAAGGCAAATTACGACAATTATTGCGAACTGGATAATAAAAGCACCAGTAACACTGGCTGCAGCCAGGTACTACAATATGTACGGGTGTTTGGAGGGCGTACAAACTCCTACATAAGCTTGGTTATGTGCGTCGTGTCGTTATCTACAAGTAGCATTTTGTGCACTCAGCAACCGAAGTGCACATAAACAATATTGAAGCTATGTGGTCGAGGCTGAAAGAGTTTTTGAGACTTTATCATGGCTCCACAGGCCGACTATTCTGTAGCCATATGGATAATTTCCTCTACTGCATGCATTACGATTTTAGAACCTCTGAACCTCTTTCTCACCTTGACAAGTTTTTGAACCACGTATAAGAAGTGTATCCACTATATTTCCTTGGTCTTGTATAACATATTTTTACTGTATACTGACTGTCTGCTGATTGGCTAATATTTCTCAGGGTCGCTTAAGATTCGTCCAAAGGTCGTCCATAAATTAGAGTTTCGCCAATTCCTCACCAATATCGAAGACCTGATTTAAATCTGATTGGTTCCTCCATAAATTATAGTATTAATTTTTTGTTCAAAATATTACATATATTCTGCTTGAACTATTTGGGAGAGTTACAAGTTTAATACCTAACTGTTAACGAGTAAAATTTTATGCAGACATTTCAACTTGATACTTTTGACTTATGGCTTGCAGGTTTCAAATTTAAAATCGTCGTCAAAATTTAACATGATTTTTAGGAAATATACAAGTGTTTGTTTAATGTCATAAATTATTGAGATATTATATATATATTAGTTTGTGGATTTACTTATGTTATCATAATGATGTAAGAGTTTACACACTTTCTGAAGTTCTTTTATAAGACTAAATATATTACCACACTAGTTCGGTTTTATTTCACTGCATTACATGATAAATAACACTCCGTAATGAGTTATTTCCCCCTCTTAACGTAAAAGTATTATGTATCAAGCTGAGCTATCTCTGTTTCAGATTGTGTTTGTTAATCACCGATGAATGACGATTCTAATAGTCTTCGAGAAAGGTTTGTTGTTGTCAACACGTTTCCATTTCTCCAGGGTTCTCAATTTGTTCAATTTATCACGGGGAGCTCTTACACAAAAGCATTTTGAAAAGGAATTTTCTGACGTATCACTTACTACCATCCTACCCATCTTAAATGCATTACAAAAGGAGGGGATGTTGGATGTCTTGGTCAATGCAGATAGGACTTTATCATGGCAACTTAGAGATCAAAATTCGACTGAGTAAGTAAACTCAGAACATATCTTAATTTTTACTAGGAAGTTGAAAAGCTTATCGGATCTGGAAGAACGTTTGGTTTACAATGCTATACGTAACGCCGGTGAAGACGGTATTTTGCTTTTAATCTCATTTCCATACCTTAATCTCTAACTCAGCTGCATCACTGAAGCTAATTAGTTCAGAAACTAAACTCCCTCAAAACCGCATACCTAGGATACTAAAATCACTCATTTCTAAGAAGATGATCAAAGAAGTGCCGATGGCTGTTGGTCACAAGCAGAAAGTTTACTTGCTAATGGAATTAGAACCCAGTGAAAAGTTGGCTGCAAATACATTGTTCGCTGGGGAATCTGGTGTGGATGCAGAGTTCATTTCTATTTTGAGAACAGCCTGCTTAAAATATCTTCAGGATAAGGTTATCGTGTGACACATTCTGACACACATTTTATAGGCGAATTCAGCCTCTCATATTGCTGATCCATTAGAACGTTGGCAAGCTTCATATGTTTCCTGTGAAGAAATCCATCGGTTCATTACCAACACAAAAATTTGCACGGTAAGTCCTAGAACAATAAAATATTCTTATGAAGCTGAACTTTAGATAACTTGCATTTTTATATTTTGTGACAAACAACAATCTTTAACACAAGATAGTACCTCGAATTTCATCTCTAATTAGTGCGAATTACTAACTACTACTGAACCTCTGGGCGAACAGATTGCCTGATATTCCGTACAAGAACGCCGAAAATACTTCTTTTGCACTGGTTGTTTTCGCCTTCACATCTAGTTTCATTGGTAGACTTAGAAAAGCATATTCAGTTATACTCAAAATTATACTCTGAAAGTGATGATTTAGAGTAAGAACAAGTTTTTATATCATGAAAACTTTAAATCTTTCGGTCAATATTTACCGGTAATTCTGCAGAAATAACAAGTATCTATAAACCAATGAATAGAAAGTGATCTCTGCGTGGTATTTTATTTTCATACTCTATTTACTTCTGGATTGTTTTGTAGTTTTTTTACTTTCTGACGAAATAATCCCATTTCGATTTTTCATAAATTTATATGGTGTAAAGTTTCATATATGTTTTAGGTTTTTATGATACAGTTAGTCGTCTCGAATTTTTTTATTTCCTATCTTGTGCATACTAAAAACTTAATTTTGTTAGTCAAATACTAGCTGTTTATCCTTTCCAGAAAGTGGAAAATAACTCGTCAACAAACATGACACGGTTGGGCAACTTTATACATGTCTAACGATAAAGCGTAACATATTAGGCAAATAGCTGTATTCATTTGCTGCATATGACCAATTACTTTCTATCTGTTAATATGTTAGTGGGTATAACTCACAAAGTACAAGATTGTATTCTCATTTGTAGGCTAGATACTAAGTGTGTATAACATTTAGATAATTCATATTGTCTTCGTCGATTAATTCAGCATCCTCTTGAATCACCGAATAATGATCTGATTCATGTATGACAATTCCTTCGAATTATTTAGTTGGTGGATATACCGAATGCATCGATTATGTGCTAGGAGAAAAGCACTTGTAAGTTGGGTGCTATTTAGCATTTATAAAACGTTCACGATAAATAACTCTGGTGGGGAGTCAGCATATCTTCATTTTGTTTATTTGCTACAGTTTCTTGAAGATGGATTCGATGTTATCGTTTAAACCATCAAGACAATTAATTTACCACACATTTAGAACTCTATTGTGTTTTGCGTTGTGGAAGTTATTTCATAATCCCGTATTTTCAGTGACTGGATAAGTCAGAAAACATAGACACAGTGGCCACATGTTGTGGTTTAAGGGGAAATAGATCTGTGTTTTTCAATGTTTCTATAGCTGTCATGTGATATTATTCTTCGGTTTTCGAAGTAATGAGTTATTTCAGATGGCTCATCAGTAGTATTTCCTCTTTGTTTAATTTCATCTGTGTGTTTTGATGTTCGAATGGACGGCTGATAGTTCTTACAAGGTTTATGTCTCTCTAAACGAACGTGAGTTCCCGTATCATTCCTATAACAAATACCCCTTGAATTTATTTGAAGGTCTTTGGTTGGTAACTTTCGACGACATTGATTGTCAATCGGTAATAATATTTGCCTTTTATTACACTTTAATATGTATTTTTTTAAAGAAACAATTAGTATTCAGAAGATACGAGTCTGTTAGCTTTGGGTGAAATTTCCCGTCCATAAAAAGACAGTGGCAGTCGAGCAAGTTGTGGAATCTTTTTTCTGATAAGTCAAAGTATCATAATATAGTTTACTGTATTCTCATCACTACTACAACTTTCTCACTCCATATAAACTTGAAGATAGGTGATATCATAGTATTGTACAAAAACATAGGCTTTGGCAAATTAAGCCCATTTTCCTCTGAAGTTTGAATTTAAAATGAGTTTTATGAATTTATTTTTAAATGTTAGGTAAAGTTAGCCTTATTATCCGAATAAATTCTACGCTTGTAAATTAAGTTACCAAGCCTACCATTTTATTTTTGCCAAATGATTGGGTTATAGTAAAATTAATTGAAAACTTGGACATCAGGTCTTTTATTAAGTGGGTTTTGTGACGGTTACGGCCTTTGAGAATTGGTGCAAGAAGTATTGAGACAGGAAATGCATTTTTAAAACAATTTTGTTGAATGAAAAGTAATATTTACCTCTGATATTTATCAGTATTTTGTAGTTATGCAACCTAACTTTACATACTGAACTTCAGTCTGTTGCGTCGTACGCTCAAACTTGTCACTATCTACTAAGAGTTAGACAGCCAAGTAATAGTATAAGAAGCCCTCACCTGGTAGATGTTACGCATGATTTTATGGACGGACGCAAATATCGTTGCTAAATTGTGCGTGGAAAGATTTTCTCAGTACAGTGTGCCACTGCTCAGGTTTCTAGAAATTGTAAGTTCTTAATGTATGACAAATCATACGAAGTACATATCTAAGCCTCATAGTGAATATAGGATGTTATTATTGTAAAGGATTTGGATGTTTTACACATTGAAAGTGTATGTTATTAAATAAAACGATATTATTAAACGAACAAGCCACCGGACATTAACACCAACATTTTGATAGTGCTTTTATTTTAAGAGTTAGAGTATCAGATGGCAGACTGTGTAAAACCCTTATTTTTATATTCGGTGTTATTTAGGTATGAGTAGGTAATCTAAAACAATTCACATAACTCCTATCTTTGATATCGTGACTTTTTAGGTACCTATGACTGTTCAGGATGTCCAATGTGTCCTTGAAGTTTTAAAGTTTGGGGGTGAGCTAGAAACACGTATTACTTCTGAAATATCTGATCAAAGTACTAGTTTTGGAATACTTTACCGACTGGCTACACAAACACCATCTGTTGCAAATTTAGCTAATATCCCTTGTACAATATGCTTGGTAAGTGTTTCTGGTATTAAGCTAGTTAAAGTAATATTCAACTGGTGAGATCAAACGACTGTTGTACTAGTCTGTAGATATTCTTTAAGAAAACGAGTGCCCAACATCAGTCTTTTATCAACATATTTTAAGCATTTGTAGTTGTGAGTATTGAATTAAGGTTTTATATTTTTTACTTAGTTTTATGAAAGTAGACCTGTAAGAAAGAGTGTAGTTCATCGAATAGGTTTCATTTAACCGATTTCACTCTCAGAGCTATACAGTCGCATGTAAATTTATATAGGAAGCACATTCTTCATGTTTGATATTGATTCACTGATGAAATAAGATTTAAACTTAAAGGTGAGGAAATTCCGGAGTCCTATGTAGTTGTTTATGTAAAAATTGACGCTTCGTTTTGCTAGATGCTTTAAAAGTATATTATAGAAAGGGTTTCTAAATCTCAAGTTTCTTGTGTACATTGACATGTCTCTGAATAAACTTTAAATAAATTGATTTTACTATTGTAACTCAGTATCGAAATATTTCATATACCAGTTTATTAAATAATCAGTTACGTGGTGTGTTGGGGTTAAAGCATCTTATTCTAGATCATTTAACTATAGGTTTGAAGCTCGTTTTATTTAAGCTTGGGCAGTCGTAGCGACATCAATAAACCTCATACGAAGATCCTGGCTGGAAATCGAGTACATAAATATCAATGATTAACACAACTACTATTAAATTCATAGACCTCTATATCATTATTACTCATATAACTAATAAATCTTTTGTTGTCATGATTTGTCATATCTTTATAAATAATTTCTATTTATTTGAAACAAATTCCACTTAGTGTCGAAAGGACTGTCGTCCAGATGGACCAATCAATCCTCAATCATGTAAACTTTTTCAAGAATTTCTGGAGTTCTAACGAAGATTGCATAATGACCAGTTGTATGCATTTTTAAAACACTATATTCTAAAACATTGCATATTCACTTCATATAACCAAGATACATCGTTGGTCTTTCATGCTTACTTTTACTATTGTGCTGGCGACTAGCAATATTATTTCTGTTATTATCATACCTCTTTGTTTGTTTCATTCTTGTTGATCAAACGGATATGAAATCGTTCGGAGTTTTTACTATCTTAGATTTAATAAAAAATGACATATGTACACCGCTTCGAATAATCACAACTGTTGATGTTTTGAAAATGATTTGAGCATTGAAATTGTTGGCTAGTAAATTACTTTCCTCTTCAACGTTTATGAACAAGTTACAACTAAATGTAGGTATATTAGGCTGTAAGGTTTGTATGTGAAAACGATAAGTACAACCTTTTAAATAAGGTTATGCAAATTTAAGGACTACGCATCTGTAAACTTTATCTGTTCACAATGATTGTTCAGAAATTTTAAATAGACATCTAAATAGTAGTTTATATTTAGCAAGGCTTCAACGAGGAAGAGAATGTAAATTCTTTGTCTAATAATATGTTTCTACTATACAGATAAAATTATAAGTTCCTTAGTGTGAATGGTGTTTTTTCCTTAGATTAGGTGTTCAGTTACGGGCCTTCATTACACTTGTGTATTATAATGCAGACAGGATAATTTTCTTTTCACTGCGTAGCAACTTATCTCTTGTTGTGTAGTCCTCAAAGTCAATCGACTTCTCTCCATCATGTTTACAATGTGATCATCGAGTTAAGTGAGTTGTTACCGCTGTGGCCTGTCTTGAATATCACATATTTGGGAGCATTCGAGAATATGCTCGGAACTCAAGTAATGTGCTGGTTTGTATCAGTTAGCATGGAGTATCTGCAGTTATAAGTTAATCGGTGCTCTCTTAAATGCTTGGACCTTTCTTATCTAGTAGAGCAGTCAGAAACTTTGCCACTGAGATATTCAGGTTTTAATCTCTGTGATGAGATTGTCTGCACCCCTATAACAGCAGATAGGGAAATACGGCGTTTTGAAATTGGATTAATTGGGTTGATGGTATTTTTCACTTCTTGAGGATCGACAATTGAAGGTTCGACCAAATGGGTGGCGTAAGTACTCATTACTCAGAAATACTTAATTAAACCGAAATATTCTCTCAGTACACCCCGAAGTTCAATGGCTCTCCAAATGATAGCTGTCTGTGCTGGTAACTATCGTCGAAATAATCGAAGTTGATACGCTGCACTTTTATTTTTCGTAATTCTAGTTTCAGGACATAAAGTACTCGTTTATTTCTCCTGTAAAATTAAATGGTTAACTTCAGTCGATCCCCAACCTATCAATAACATATGGTTTAAAAGGATTTCACAATGGATATCTATTTTAAATAATAAGACGATAAAAAATTGCTTAAGCTGATTTATAACCATTAGATTTAATGATGAATGATTAAACACAGTAAACGTTCTGAGTTTGTAAAATGTATAAACTCGTGACAGTAAAAACCTGTCATCCATTAATATTTATTAGTTTCGTCATTGTCTTCTCTTGTATTGTTAACATTTTCACATCGATTCACAGACATTTCACTTTCATCTTGTTCCAATGTAGCAGGTCTCAACGTCTTTATTTTAATTTGTCTTCTTTGCGAATATAATTTTTTTAGTAAACTATAAAATGATTTTGTGGATGCCAAAAACAATAAGCTCCAAATTACAATAACTGTGACACAAACCACAGCATTAAATGTAAAACTTATAGCAATAACATTCTGTTGTATTGAATAGTATAAATAGTGATAAGATACACCTTTATCTGAAAAAGAAAACATGGTGATCTATATGTCTCATAAGGTCTTTTAAGTTAATGTATCTAACACTCAATGATAAGTCAGCTACAACATAGAACCAGTCACGTATATGCATCGGTCCAAGTTGCCACACCTCATTAGCACAACAAGATGAACAAATTCATAGAAGCAGTTACTTCAATGGTGGTAATGTATACAAGATTTCATATAAGGATATGATACAGGGAGAAAGAATAAGTTCGTAGAAATAAAGGTATAAAGTAATTTCAATCTCACGGTTAAAGTGTAGACAGAGTATATACATCTACTTCATTGTGATCGATTCTGAGCCACGTCACCCAGTCTCGAAATATTGGTTACGATAGTCGCGCGGAATTTAACAAAGTAGTTTGCATCTACCGACATGGATAAAACCAGAAGTTAGTGACCTCAATGACTGATGCCACGTTTTGGTTTGGCCGCCCCTAGCTTTCTTCCAACCATTCCCAACACTAATCAGCATTGTGCGTCGTGGTAATCGGTGTTCAGGTATATGTAACACGTGGCACAATCATCTCAGTCGATGAAGGTTTACAACCCTAATACCTTGCGTCCAACCTCACTATTACTTACCCGGTAATCCCAGCAGATGCGAGCAAAATCTCTAAGGCATCTGTGGTCAAATACTGATAGCAGCCATAAATTAGAACAGAACGAACTGATGCGCAGTAAACTCGTCCGTTAAATGATAGGCGGATATCTCGCCTCCTCCATAGGTGACGTAAGTTGGTAAAAGCCAGACGAGCCTTTCGAATCCGTGCTGAGATTTCGTCAGAAACTGACCCAATAGGGCTGGTCAGACTTCGAAGATAAGTGAAGTTGTCAACGCGTTCGACTACTTCACTCCCTATCCTTAGTTCAGGTGTTGACGCAGACCAGTCCTGAAGCATTGTTACTTAGTGCTATCAAAAGACTGCATTTTATCAGCGTCTCCACCAAACAGGACTATGTCATCTGCGTACTCTAAGTCGATAAGTGGACCTTCTGAAAGGAGATCAAATCCTGAAAATTCAGGCAATAAGAACGTTATTTCCATCAATAGGTCTATGATGAAGTTGAACAAGAATGGAGAAAATGGGCAGCCTTGTCGAACACCATTTGAGGTTATGAAATCAGATGACATTTCGCCATAAACTCTGGCTCAACTAGTAGTGTTCGAGTAAAGAACATTCACAAGGCTTTTGTACTTCTGAGGTTCACCTTTCAATGGTTAACACTACCACAGAACCTCTCCGTCTAAAGACTCAAATGCTGCTTTGAAGTCGAGAAAAACCACCATTGTCGGACGCCGATAAGCATGTCTGTGTTCTAAGATCTGATGAATGGTGGATTTATGGTCGGTGCAACCACGACCAGGTTTGAAGCCAGCCTGATTTTGTGCTTGAAGTTCACAAGTCTTTGTTAAGCGCCCGATAATTATTGAGGCCATACTCAATGGTCCGAATAATCAATTCTAAGTGCGGGTGCACGCTACTGAGGAGTTCCACAATGGGACGGAACGGTCGTCCAGTGTTTCCAGGTTCTCAACGGTGGCCCAACATCGATTCATTCATTATTTCAATCGAAAACTTAACAATCTCTACAACCCCATATGGATAATAATTGTCAAGTTTACAGATTATGGTAGCCCACCATCCCAGTCCTTTGCAGCCCAACAGTTTATGAGCGACTACATTTTAACCGATTTCCTTCAAAAATTCTATATATGTGGATAAATGTTTTCTTTAGTGATATTTTATCGTTTTTACAGAAGATAGCAGTAGTCTACAGTCTGTTTTTATACATAGTTTGTGTTAACGGGACATAGATTGGATGAAATCACGTTCCGTGCACGATTGTGTTGCTGCACTCTCACTATTTATTATCCAATTACCACTAGTCGATACTTGGAGAAAACTCTAGAATCTCATGTAAAAACTATAAATATACTAGTGTTTTTCTTATTGTGCTTCTTACTTCCATATACTCTTTTTATTTGGAATGTGATTTCGTCCCTGTTCAACCATGTTCTGATTTGTCGAGTGAATTGGTGTCCAAGATTACTAAGTAATAAGAACAGCCGGGTTGTAATAAAAGAAATTATAACACTTTGTAAATGATCTTAGAAAATAAGATTAGAGCTAAAAAGCGAAGATTCATTTTTGAGGATATGTGTTCTAGTCTATAGACAAGTTTTGGTAAACAGAATTAGGCAATAAAACAATAAAATTTTTAAACAACCATACAAGATTTTCGGAGTACTTACAACTATAGAATCTTATCTGAGTAATAGATGATAGTTCTTGATGTGTAAATTTAGAAAAGATTTATGATAGAATTATGGATTGTTACTGCAATTAATACTTTATATCGTAGTAGTTGATCAGTAATCAACCTGATCTGAGCCCTCATTTGATAATTATTGTTTATATGTATGGTTGCCTCGATATACTTCTTTCTAGTAACTGTTAAACTAAGTAACATAAGATTCTAATAATAGTTAATAATATTCACTTCAAATTAAGTTTTAACATTTGAAACTATAGTTCACTGATATTAAGAAAATAAGAATATGTGATGGGTATCTTTGTTGATTTACTCATTAAGAGATAAAATAGGATACTCGAACGACATATTTTGTTTAATTATGATTACTATTGGAAGGAGGAGTCTTTCGTCTATCCATGTGAATACAGACAATGTTCTAACTGCTGGTTAGGTAGAATTTGATAAGCTATTAGCTCATTAAAAATTTTAAATGAAGTTACCGCTTTCTAGTAAATTAGACTCTTATAATGGTAAAGTTGCAAATGCAGTCAGTATATCTATTAGAGATTATTTTAATTGATTTACTGGTCAAATGCTCATCTGTTATCTCAGTTTTGATGTTTCTCATTGTTATTTTGAACTTAAAATTCTCGTGACAAGGACCTTGAAATTGGTAATTCGGAATTCAATGATACACATTTGCATCTATTTGGTGGCATAATGCGGATTTCGTTCAAGGTCATCAGTACGCTACTCATCACTTCTCAATAGAACTTCAAAAAACCATCCCAGATAGAACAACTAGTGAGCATAAGTCTGTTTTATTAAGTGTTATATAGGGAGGCTCCTATAGTTTGAAGTTCGTTTTCGTAGTACTCACTATGCTTATACATTGGGATGCTTGTTATCATCGTAAAAATCGGTATAAAGTTGAAGCAACTACTCATATGTAGTATGCCTAATTACGAAAGAAAATTCTGATTTTCGGTGTAAACTCATTATGGATTAAAAATCTGAGACATTACCATTGCTCATTAGATATTTTACGTTAAAAAGGGAGTAATTTCGAGAGTTGGTCGTGGATGGGCGAGTGAGTTGATAAATAAAATCCAGTCTGTAAACGAACCTAAATTAGGGGATTTTATTTAATGGGTCATCTAAATTATGAGAAATTAAAAGTCAAAATAATAAAGTTAAGGGTTGAGCAATATTGTGAATTGTTTAAAGCTAGACATTAACATCGTTGAGTTCAGGTTTAGAGATTGTCTATGTGTGAGACTGAATGTCCCTGGCTAGATTTCCGATCGCTAGGTCATGAGTGGGCAATGCAAAGGAGTACAATACTAGGTCAAAACGGTCGTCCAATGCTTCTAGACTTTCATCGGTGGTCTAGTCAAAATAAGCGTTTTATTTAAACTGTAGTAAATCGAAGTCAAACTAATTTCTCAGCCTTCTATTTAAGAAATATATTGTCATT